GTTGTTGGACTTAATATTGTCTTGGTCTCGTGCCTTGTTGGACTTAAAATTGTCTTGGTCTCATGCCTTGTTGGACTTGTTTAACTGACAGCAATGCATTTGTAGACTTCAGCTAGTTTTTCATGGGAACCAGAGAGCATGCAGGTTTTCAGAAGACCAAAGGATCATCTACAGGGTCAAATGTGTTTACATTTCATAGCATTAACGTCACATCTGTTATCTTTCGACTGTGTACAGTTACTGTGCAGTCAGTTGCTTGTTGTGTGTCTGTTAATGCCGGAAGCCACAGCAGATTCTTTGTCCTCCGGGGTTTAATGGTCACGGACTCGTCTGCTTGACTGATGTGTCATTGACTCTAGATACAAAAACACCGTAATCTGCTCCTGACAGCTGCTCCTCCCATCAACGCACACGAAACCATTAATCGACTTCTTCTTTTTGTGATTTTTGGAACAAACCGGTTTACGCCATGTTTTTAGGAAGCGGTGGTTGCAGCTGACTGTGCCTCAGAACCTAGAAACTCCCAGTGTGACGTAATCACACACAGATGGTTTGAGGTTTTTGTTGTCTGGCAGCGCTCAGTCAGCTCACGTGATTGTTTCTCTGACTCAACCGGTGAGCTTGCAGAAATTATCGCCAGTGGCAACAGTGCTGTTTCCAAATGAACCTGTTCCCAGAGTGATTAAAACAAACATGGGTGTATTAGTGGGAGAGACACAATGGAGGTTAGGGACTGACTCATCTTATTAGTACCATTCCTTTGTTTCTGCACTGAATGTCCATTTGTTTTTATACCAAGGTCCATACAATCTATGTAGTCATGCACTGAATATATAAATGGGAAATCATTTGAACTCGTGAATTAGTGACTGTATGCAAATCTTTGGGTTGGCGAGTGGAGCTGAACCTGGAGGCCAAGTTAAATATCCGTATTAAATTGGTTTCATAACCAGTTAAAGGTTAACATTAATGTAACTCATATGCATTACAAAGGAAGGCCGATAAGAATAATTTTCATACAGTCCCTTAAACTTTGTTTGTTCTCACGCGTGGCTCGATTAGACATTTAACACTTTTCAATGTAGTATTCTCGAAAACGCCAGAGGACGTTCAGACAAAATGAACTGTGAAGAAACAATAAGACAAGAAGTGTCGCCAGCAAAACGCCGTAAACAAACCTCCACAAGGCCGAGGAGGAAACGTAATTATCTGTAAACTCGTATCTCATATTCATGGAATACTTTATTACCTTTATACAGGAAAGAAGGAAGTTGCATTAATAGAAACAAAGGTGGAATGTCCTGTCAACAATTTTATTTGGCTGCAAAATATTTACTCAAATATAGATTTTAAGGACATCCTGTTATTAAAGCTTTTAAAAACAGCCTGTCCTTGTATAATCCCCAGACATATTAATGGTGCTTTTTTCAGTGAACTATTTGTCACAGATCGCGCACAACAAGTTAGAAGTATTCATAGGTACATGACCAAGCGCAGGTCGTGATTACGTCATTTTCTGGCACGATGGCGACCATGAACTACGCTTTACTCCACAGCATGCCAAATCCTTATTAAAATTGTTCACCAATCGAAGCATCTCTTGCAAAAGACCGGACTTGAAAAGTGACCCATCGTCGCAGTCTAGAGGATGAGGAAGTGAACCTGTTGACTCTGCGTATCAAATGGCTTCGATGCGTCGTGACCACATCAGGTCTGCTGAGCTCCTCTCCTCCAACTAGGCCAAAGTTCAGCCATCTTACCCCTTGAAGGAAGTCAGTCAGGACTCTTCCAGTTGAGCGGCCAGAGTGGAGCCCCTCGTTGTTTCGGATGCCGTGGCAGGGACGTAGCACATTTCTTTTGGAGCCCACCTTTGGTCCAATTAATCCGTGGAGGTGACATCCGTGTTGGGGTGAGAGGGTTCAGTCAGCTGCCTAACAAGCTGCCCCCCTGTGGTGAGCACAGCGGCCGGATAGACGGGTGGACGGACAGATGAGGACAATAGTAGAGGGGAGGGGACGGCGAGGCTATTTAGGACCCATGATAACGTCACACACGGATTTATTTGGCTCCGTGCCCGTCTCTTTCCTCAGTGACACACTTCAGTCCCTGCTGAAGACCTGGAGTTTGATTTCCTTTAATGCTTGTTAAAAAGCTTCATGTTCTCCAGAAACATCACAATAATAGAGACAATAAACATATTATAGCCATATGTTGCTCTCTTCCTCTTATTATTTTTGTTGTTACTTTTTCTTGAAGAGGGCTGTTTATGCTTTGAAACGGTTCAGAACAGCGTGTGCTCTGGTGTCAAGTTGAGCGTCGTTACGCAACACTCTCAGGCTCTTCTGTCTCCGTCTCCACTTCAAAAACAGTTTGAGGGTTATGGAGCTGCAGACGGTACAGGCTGTACTTTGAGGTGATGAGCCAAAAGTCAACAACGAATAGAGCACTGAGGGGTCAAGTAGTTGCACGGATGTGTGCAATTTTCTACAATTTCTTTTAACGTTGAGTGATCTTATGGGTTTTAGTGGATTATAGGAAAAGAAAATTATTTCTACAAAGATTATTGTCAAGCTGACAGCATGAAGCCTCTATTATACTCGTAAACGGACGTATACACGGACAGTTGCGGAGATCTTTTTATACGTAGTTGTGGAAAGTGAAGCCAATGCTTCATATCTTAAACCTGCATTCTCTCTAATGACCATCAGGGGGCGACTCCTCTGGTTGTATAGAAGTCTATGAGAAAATGACTCTACTTCTCTCTTGATTTATTACCTCAGTAAACATTGTAAACATGAGTTTATGGTCTCAATCTCTAGTTTCAAGTCTTCTTCAATACAGCATGATGTTCATTTAGTACATTATGGTCCATTTATGGGCTACCTTGTGAGTGACAGGTCCAGAGACATGTACGGCGTCTCTACATCACTTTAGCTAGATGGTTGCAAAAAACAAGATGGCGAGGGCCAAACTCAAGGCTTCAAAACCTCAGATTCCGTAATATTTGTTACAGGAATATACATCTAGCTTGCTAACGTTAGCTCGTAGCGGCTAACTGGTCACACCAGACCAAGTGAGGTCGTACCAGCAAAACTCCTGAGTGTACCGAATCGAGCAAAGGTGCATTTAATTGCTTATGAATTCAACTTTTAGATTTACATACAACAATTAGAGTCACATAGTCTCACTTTAAGTTAAGTTGTTTGAAAAACACAGTGTGCAGAGCTCACGCCTCTTATCTGTTTTGAGATTGTCGTCTGTGTTTTGACTAGATTTGTAGTTGCTTAAGTTAATAATCTGCTCTCTCTCTGCGTTTTCTCCACAGCTCCCCAACATGTTCGGAGACCTCAGGTCAACCTTCATCGCTCTGATGATCGGATCCTACGCCTCCTCTGCTGTCACTTTCCCCGGCATCAAGGTAACATTTGATTTCATTTTTCATACATTTTGTCCTCGTCACAGCACTCACGATCACACAGAATGGGGTATTGATTCTCCAGTATGATGTTTCCTTTGGTAGGTGATCTACGATCTGGGTGCCACCTTCACCATCATCCTGCTGGTTTGGGCCGCCTGCGCCTGCCTCGTCTTCTTCAACTGCTTCATCAACTGGCCTCTGGAGCCCTTCCCCGGCCCAGAGGACATGGACTACACGTAAGACGGACACACACACCCACACACAGAAGCCTCCTGCAGCCTCCAGCCATCACTAGAAAGCAGCCGTTGTAATGCTGCTGGCTGACCTCGGGGTGTAGAGGGATTCTTTGTGAGCTCAGACGGCCTGCATTCTCCACAGAGATCGCCGCATTGCACACATACTCAAGATTGCATAGACATGCAAGAGGCTTGAGTGAGCCCTAAAGGCAGGAAAATGACTCTAAACCCAGATGATCAGCTGGCTTTGCTCTCAATCACCTGGATCCTTTGTTTCCTGGTGGTCTTTTTACCCTTTTTCTCTGCTGGTGTTTTTTTCTTTCATTTGATTTACTTGCCCAATTGCCAAACGTCCTAGTCCGAAAGGGAAAAATGTCTTGTTAATGAATAAATAAAAATCAACAGATTTGGACAATTGGACAAAACAAACTTTAAAAAACTCAAAATGTTTTAGTTATACTTTGTTATAGTCATCTATAGTGGTTATTTTCATAAAAACACACAATGATAAGGAAACAAATAATTGTATTTTTACTAAAATATTTGCTAAGATTAAACATTAATATTGTATTTATTATAAGCTGCTTAGAGCAGGTGTTGTTTAATATCAATTTTCTTCAAACTACTTTTTTTTTTTCACTGAAAACTACATTTTACAAGATAGCATTTAACAGAACTGTGCTAACGCTAGCTTATGATTAGCTTAACGTTAGCTTAACGTTAGCACAGTTCTGCTTGGCACAAAAACCCGGAGCTAACCGCATAGCAACATTTGGAACAACTAACTAAATCAGATAAAATATAATCTTATTGATTCCCATCTTGCTGCTCAAATTATTCATAGTGACCGTCTCCTCTGTCGACTATAAGCTAGCACAGTCCTGCTTAAAAATGAAGCTAACAGCTAACGTACTGAGGTTCCATTGAACTACATTATGGTGCGTTCAATTTTAAAACGGGAATAAAAAAAGAGTATTGGGTGGACAATGTTGTCATGATGTGTTCAAATATATGTTAACATTAGCATAACGTTAAGCTTGCGTCAGCTTTAGCTCAACGTTAGCTTACCGTACGTTAACGTTAGCTTTAGCTTAACATACGTTACCGTTAGCACAGTTCTGCTGTACAGTTCTGCTGTAACATTAGCTTAACATTAAGCTAGTGTTAGCTTTACGTATGTTGTCTTGCCAACAAGCGCCGAAGCCTTAATGTCGAGCCCTGTTTCACTTCCTTCCTCTTCTCCTTCCACCGTTCCTTCAGGGTGAAGATCAAGTTCAGCTGGCTGGGCTTCGACCACAAGATCACGGGGAAGCAGTTCTACCGACAGGTGACCACGGTGGGGCGCCGCCTCAGCGTGGGTCACTCCATGAAGCACAACCAGCCGGCCACAGACCTGGCAACGCAGGAGGCCAACAAGCTGTGCCTCTCCACCGTGGACCTGGATGTTAAGTGCAAAGCCAAGGAGGAGAGTAAGTCTGAGACCAAATAGAGCTTCTCTGTGTGCAAGTAATGTTATTAATAAGGGTATTTTCTGATAACATACAGTGAATTATACCCAATCTATGGTACCTTAAATGCCCCTTTACCTCTGCCCTACATCCACGCTAAATGAACCTCTGTTACCCCGACACCTCTAGGCCTCCTCGCTCTTTGACACCGGGGTCAGGGACTCCCAGTGGGGTGCGTCTGGTTGCTCCCCTCTCGGCCTCTTTGGTAGCAAATGGACCGTGTGATTAGTTCGGACCCCGTTCTTAGAAAAGGCCGCTCAGCAGGTGTTTTGGCGCGCTGGCAGAGAGCCCCAGAGCAGCATTGTTGTGGTTTGTAAGGTCAAGTGTCGTGTGTGTGTGTGTGTGTGTGTGTGTGTGTGTGTGTGTGTGTGTGTGTGCAGTCAGGACACACATGGTTGGTTTCATAACAGCTGGACATGTTCCTTCTGTCAGGAGCTTTAAAGAAGCCCTTATTACACACATAAACCTGGTTCCCCTCTCCTTCCTCTCTAATTTACGAAGGCAGATTTGGGCCATTTTAGGTAAACAAAAAAATGAATTATAAAGCCAGAGGATGGGGGGGTAATATTCAGAGAAAAAACTCAGGGAATTTCAGGGATTAAAATTGTACATTAATGAGTAAAAAAGCTTGGATATTCCCTGAGATTGCAGCATATTCTTGCTCCCTAACCACACAAACGACTCGTGACGAGACAGCAACGTTTATTTTTTCGTTTCACAAATACACAAATACACGTCCCAGCAAACCCAGAGGACGTACAGTAGAACACCGTGATCTGTGTTTTCAACACAAGCAGTGATATTTCTGTTCCTTTTCCGTGTTGTTTTTCGCACTTAGTTCTCAATGGTTGGTTTTCAGTGTTAGCTGCGCTGAAATAAAAGACGCTGCAGTCAAAGATAGAAGTTGTTTGTCTCTACTTTCCTGGAACTTACATATTTTTTATTTCTGTTCATAAAATCACGCCTAAAGAACATTATATATGTACGAGTTTCAGGACCTTCGCATCACTCGGTTGCATTAAGAGCAACGAAAATCAGACGGCGGCTGATGTTACCACAGTTTTTCACTATTTGTTTCATACATCTACACATCTATACATCTATTTCTTGCAAATTTTCCACTTTAATCTCAGAGAATATCCACGTTTTACAATTTTTCTACAATGGCACTGTTACTTAATGTCATACTGATTTGATGGCAGCTGTGAACGTTGCAGAATATTTACTTACTAGACATTGGTTCGTTACCTCCGGTCTCCTGAGAGCTGAAAGGCCTCATTTGAATTTGAATATTTTTTTATTCTATCATCATGTAACACACAAATGAGGTACTTAAAAAGTTGGCATGGCCACAGTGTGCTAGTTTGGTATGTGAACTACAGAGGCTAAGTCTTTATTTCAAATTAATTGCTTGGATTTCAAAATAAAATACATAATCTCAGCCTCTTAAACTGCTGGACCAAACGGTTTCTGGTCTTCTTTTCATAACATTTTAGCTTCGACTTCTTTATATCGACTTTTCCTGCCGCCACCAGAAAGTTGATATTTGTGGTTTTAAATTAAATGTTTCAACAACTAGTGGATGGATTTTTATGATATGACATTTGGTACAGATGTTCATGCTCCCCTCAGAATTCATTTTAATAACTAATCTCCTCATCATGGCTGTAGTTTTAGGTTAGTTTAATTTAAAAAAATTAAATGTAAAGCCTCCACCTACATAATATCAAAATGTCATAATATTAAAGAGAACACAAAATGAATACACATAAGGTATATTCCCTTAATAAAGATGGATACCTGTTGTTCTGGGTAATCAACCCATCTGCACGACAATTAATCGGTTTGTCCCGTACCTCTCCGTACGGACGGCTGCGTCCCATTTCTATTTACACTCACGACTTTGATCAATGATCAACTTTTTCCCAGAATCCCGCAGCAGGAAACGTCAGTGTAGTTTTCCACCATGTGAGTTTAAGAAATGGACGACAGAAGATGCTGGAAACGGTCGAGCCAAAATCTAACTTTTTACATTTTACAGACTAAAATATGTTTCTGAAAAACTGGCAAAGCAGTCACAGAATCTGAGCGGTATTGACCTGAAATCTAAATCACGATATATTATTTGTTCCTTATATATTAAGAGAAGTGCTTCTGAAGACGCTGTTACTGTCCTCTTAACTGTGTTACGAGGACGTACTTCACAGAGTAGGCCTTAGAGTCAGAACATTTATTGTGCAAAACTGCAACACCTTTTCACATTGCTCGACGGTTCACTTGCGGAGGATGTTTTCTTTTGATTTCCTCATGTTCCAGGACGTGCTTTCATTTGACCGTGACCATATAAAAGAAGTTGCATGAATCCTGCAACTATTTATGTCACTGAGTTGCAATTAAAGTTTAAAAAACAACAGCGCTGTAGGCGGTATAGTCAAAATTCACTCGGTAGGGCAATCGTACCTTTTTTATATGACAATTCGGGCTTCACGTCGGCTCTGATTGGTTGTTTTTCTTTGGGAAATAATGACAGTCTGAGCAAATATGACAAAAATATATCATTTTGATAAAGTTACCAACTGTAGCTTTAACGCCCTGAAACATTCATGTTCCCCAGAAGATGGATCCTCATAGCTTTTGCTCTAGCGCCACTGTGAGGTTGACTTTTGTCAGTGACAGAATCTGAGCGGTATTGGCCTGAAATTTAAATTTAAATAACGTATCCGTTATCTGCTATTAGAAGCCAACTGATCTGATCGTAACGTTCCTCTCCTCCTTCATTTCCCTCCTCAGCTCAGTCCTTCATGAAGAGCATCTTCAGCCCCATCTTCATGCTGAGCCTCATCACCATGTGCGTCACCCAGCTGCGCCTCATCTTCTACATGGGAGCCATGAACACCATCCTGGATTCGCTGACGGAGGGAGACCTCAGCACAGGTGTGTGTGTGGATTCAACTGTACATGAACATGGTTGCTGTTCTGTGAATGGCTTCAACATCTAACCACAGTTAGCTGTGTCAAGACTTTCCTCTGTTGGTCTTTTCTAACGAATCCTCTCTCAGCTGCTTTTTCCCACTCAGCTAAAACGCCTCGTTGCCTCTCTCTCTCTTTCTCTTTCTCTTGCTCTGCCTCTTTTTCCCTGTCATGCTGGCTTCTTGCAGTGGAGAAGATGCATGTGGGTAAGAGACCTACAGGCTTTTAACTTTACAAAGATCTTACCACCTACACTTCCACTTCAGAGCCTCCTCGGCCGTCTGTCGTCTTCTGTGTTTCGCTCGTTTCTTTGCGACTCAACCCTGTAAAAATACATCAAAATATTGGTTGTAAAATACACAAAAATAACTTGTTTTTTGTCGCGTGTGTGTCTGTCAGTGAGCGTCTACACGTCCATCTTCGGGATGCTCCAGCTGTTGTGCCTCATCACCTCTCCCGTGATCGGCTACGTCATGGACTGGAAGCTCAAAGACTGCGAGGACGACAATGACAAGAACGGCAAGAGGTGAACAACAAAACACGCGAAAACACAACACGCAGACAGGAAATAAGAGGAAAAAAAACCTAATTTATGTTTTATTCTGTTCCATCAGAGAGCCGGGTCAGCCCCGTCCTCCCGACAAACAGATCCAGAAGATCGTCAACGCCACCAGAGCCTTCATCTTCACCAACCTGCTCCTGGTCGGCTTCGGAGTCAGCTGCCTCGTCGAGAACCTACCTCTTCAGGTACACGGACGAAACACGGGCGAACACAACTCTTTTGGAGGGGGGGGGGGGGGGGGCATTTTCCCAGCATGTGCTGCCAGAGTCTAACGCTGCAGAGAGACAAAGAGACAAAGAGGCAGAGAAAGTGTACACGATGTTCAAACAGGACAGACTCACATGGCAATGCAGCTCCTGGTGCCACTAAGTCCTGCAGGGACACCTGCTGGACAACACAGGCATTGCGTGTTATTTAACTCTCAGTGTGAAGGGGAATAATAATTGAACTAACAGATATCAATATCAAACTTCCCCGGTTGATTACTCGCATTAAAACAATTATTTTCTGAATTACAAGTTTTCTGAATTTCATGTTTTAATATGCAAATGAGGCATTATCTTTATTAGCACATTTTTATACATTTAGATAAAGTTAGGTTCAAACTTCATGTTTCATTTTGTTGACATATTAGAGTCAAAGGTTTTATTATGAGGGAATTTTGAATATCTCTTTGCATCACTCCATAAATCAGAAGATACGGTCAATTTTGTTAATTTTCTCCACGTTTTGTACTAAAATGTCGTATAAATGAGTCTCTGAATGGTGTGTGAACAAACCCCTCTGTGTTAACCTTCAGAATATAGAGAGCAGTGAAAGTGTAGTGTTTGGTGTATGTAAGAGCTGCTGAAGTGGAGATTTCTGGATCAGAGTCTGAGAAAAAACTAATTTCGAGAAAACGTCCTTTAATTTGTATTATGCAAATTAGGACTTTTTGGGAACTTTTGAATTTAGGAGAAAATCTAAAAACACAAAATAGAGAAAGCAGCAAAATAAACACCTACATTTGTATTCTGGATGATTCCTTTAAAGTATTCTGAAACAAGACACGTTATAGAAGCAAAATAGCCCAAAATCTTTAGATTCTTGCCTTAATGGAAAATTAAACATTTTCTTTCTTCACTTGTCTCCTCTTCTTCAGATTCTGTCCTTCATCCTGCACACCATCGTCAGAGGCTTCATCCACTCTGCAGTCGGAGGCCTCTATGCTGCTGTGTGAGTGTTGATAACACGATGATGATAATAACTTTATTCATATATGATTCTTTAAGTTCAGTCTGAGCTCCACTTCAGAACTAAAGGTGGTGGATTTGGGTTAAAATCAGGACTCTCTGCAGACCAGTCAAGTTCTGTTAAACTGTGATCATTTCTGTACGGACCTCACTTTGTGGACATATTTTATGTAATAATAATATTATAAGACATTTTGGCCCGTCCCACATGAGATTTGAAGACACCATTATATGTCACACATCTTCCAGTCTTATACAAAGCATGTGGGGAAATAAACAAAACTATATATTTTTTAAACATCAACAGATTATCTCAGTAAAGAGCTTTTTTTGTTCTGTTGTCCTAGATTTTCTACAAATAACTATATAATAACTAATTTATGTTTCGCATGTAAACAGACATTTAATTGTTTGTGCATTTACAAAATCAATATAGATTTTTATCTTAATATATATATATATGTATGTATGTATATGTGTATATGTATATGTATGTATGTATATATGTATGTATATGTATATGTATATGTATATGTATATATATATGTATATGTATATATATGTGTGTATATGTATATATATGTGTATATATATGTATATGTAT